TTGGCACCCAAGGCTCACGGGTGCTACACCTTGCCCAAGGGTGACCTGGAGGTAGTTGTGGCAAAGGGTAACCTCATTCTCCCACGTCCATATACTTCACAACCGGATGTAGTTTAACATCTTGCCCAGGACACATATATACATATTTAAATAAACGTAAACGTTGCCTTTAATAGGTAATACCTCACACGTGAGGCTGAGTTGGTGCAAGGCTTTTATGACCGTATGCCCTTACTGACGTCAACTAAACTTATTATGTAGGAAGTTGGCACCCAAGGCTGACAGGTACTACTATCATATTGTATTGTTACAATATAGAGGCAATATAGAATACCCACTCTAATCACATCTTTAGAACAATCTTGATGTTTTCTTTGATAGAAATAGTCTTCCACGGGAGAGAACTTCAGCCAATGTGTCTTCTGAGTCTGTGCTGGAATATTTATCTGTGGAAAAAAATTTGATACAATGGTGAAGAAACAGACAGAGTTGCTAAAGACACAATCACCTACACTGTATTAAATTGTTACCATGACCCTGTAGTCGGCCATTTTGAATCATACACGATAAAATAAAATTATATTCTATGTATGTATCAAATTTGGATGAAATGCGTGTTCTGGTTGCAGAATAGCAGAAATGTTTGATTTTAGTCATGAAATTGTCGTCAGCTATCCTTAATTTTATTATTATTTATTTCACTAAAATTAATTAGTTTTCACATTTCTCAGTAATGATATTTCTGTAATGATATTCATCAAATGTATCATTAAACAAGCTAAAAGGGGGACTAATTATTATTATCAAAATTGGGTATATGCTCTCTTGTTTGACATTTACAGTCACATCATTTTAAGGATTACATCTCAAAGGGTCTAGATGTTTCATACACTGAAGCTAAAAATAAAAATGTAACTAGTGTTTACCTGATCTAGAACATCTTTCTTTGCCGTTCGCCACAAAACTTTGGCAACTACTTCATTTATTGGTGTGAAATTACCATGTACATATGGTTGATATAGCAACCGATGCCACCAATGTCTCACCCAGTATGGATCAACACCAAGAAACAGCAATAAGCCATACATATCTGCAACAAGTAGTTAAATTTTATTAGCAACAACTTTGCGCACTGTTTAGCAGATTTTATCATTGTATTTAAAGCTGATTTGCAGTAATGTCTGAAATATAACATATTTATAAGTGTCGTACTTCCTACTGCAAGTTGATGGACTGCCCCTCAGCACCATGCCTGCACCCCTGTTAAAAATGATGCAAGTTTCTAGATTGTCCCTCAGAGCCTAATCTGCAACCCCAACAAATGTAGCTTGTTTCCAGACTGCATTTTCTTCATCCCTGCACTCCTTCCAGACTGCCCCTCAGAACCTCTCTGCACTCCCTGCTAAGAACATTGTGAGTTCACAAACTGCCCCTCAGCACCTGGCCTGCACCCCTGTTAAAATGATGTGAGTTTCTAGATTGTCCCTCAGCACCTAGTCTGTGTTTCCCTCTGCACTTGGCTTGCATCTTTTCCAGACTGCCGCTCAGCACCTGGCCTGCACTCTCTGCTAAAAATGGCGCAAGCTAGTCTGCACACAAGGAGTCATTAGAGATGATATGTAGTGTGTAAGCCTGAACAAAACTATGGAGACAAGCCAGGTTGAGGTTGAGGAGTTAAACAACAAACACTCACCTTCTATTCCTTTTTGTATAGGTGTCCCTGTAACACACCATCTATTGATAGCACTCAGTTTTAAAGCCATCTCAGCCGCCTATAAATTGGGATAAACAGAAAATAAATGTAAAAAAATATTTTTAAAAAATGGCATCTAAACATAGTAAACATCACTTTTGTAGTCATGGTTACTTTTGTAGTCATGGTTACATTTGTAGTCATGGTTACTGCATACCTTTGTAGTAGCAGACTCAACCATTTGTGCTTCATCCAGACATATTCTCCACCATTCCACTGCTATGAGAGGAGTTGGTATGGCCATGTATCGCTTAGCATGGCGAAGTCGATGACCTTCATTTTCTGAAATAACAAAAAGTTTATATTTATGTAAATACTGTAAAATGCACTAATTATTCACTGGTTTTAATTTTGCTATTTTGGTTGATAAGTGAAATTCGCTAAAATTAAATGGCTTTAAGAAAATTCTGACAGAATGCCATGGAAAAAGAATAATATTTTCAGATACATGCATGATGAGATCTTTTCTCCATAGGAATGTTAAATTACCCAAATATCACTGTTTTCAGGGGTTTTTGGTAATTTCTTTACACGAAACATAGTTCTGTGATCACACATTTTATGTGACTTTTGTGAGTAAGATAAAATATAACCATACTGTAATATCATGGAAATTGGAATATCTGTTCTAATAT